TTGTGTTATACAGATGGCACAACCTTGTTTGCAGAAAATGAAGAGGACTTGAAGCACTTGTTGCAGAAGATCAAAGACTACAACCTTCATTATGGATTACATCTCAATATAAGAAAACAAAAATTCTCAGTTATTAGAGCAATGGCCAAAGTCATGATAGATTGAATAAAGATTAAAGTTGTCAACAATTCCATTTTACTTTGTTACATCATCAATACCAATGGCAACAGAAGCCGAGAAAGAAAAAAAGATGTTACATTGGGAAAATCTGCTGTCAAGGACCTCGTCAAAGTTCTAATGAGCAAGACGTCACTTTAAAGATTAAGGTAGGCCTGGTACAAGCCATAGTATTTTCAATTACTCCCCATGAATCCCAGAGTTGGACAATGAATAAGGATACCTGAAAAAATCAGTTTCTTTGAATTGTGGTATTGGTGAAGCGTGCTGAATAGCCCATGTTGTTGTTTTTGTTATGTGCTGTCCAGTCGGAACCAACCTATAGCTTATATACCAGCAGGTCTTCAGTGTCCGTAAATCACACAAGAGGTGACTGCTCATTCTTCTCCTGTGGAGCAACTAATGGATTCAAACCATGTGCCTTTGGGATTGCTGTGCAGCTTCTTAATACTAGGTCACCTGACACAAAAACAAACAAGTCTATCTTTGAGGAAATAAATAAGCTACTCCTTAGAGGCAAAGATGGAGAAATTTCTTTTCACAGACCTTGTGTATATTGTTAAGAAGGTCCATCCTTGGAAAAAGACATCATTCTGGGTAAGGTGGAGGGTCAGAGAAAGAGAAAAAAGACTCTCAACAAGGTGGATTGACACATTTACTATACCAATGGGCTAGAGTGTATCAGAGATTATAAAGATGGCTCAGGATCTAGAATATTTCAGATCTGTTTTCTGATTATTGCTATGAGTTGTAGTTGGCTCTACAAACAGCACCTAATACCGAGAAGGATTCTCTGGTTTGTTTGGTTTTTTTTGTTGTTGTTGTTTTTGTTTTTAGAAGAAGAGGTGTAGTCATTAGTTACCACTCTGGTGGCCTGATTCTAGTGAATCACTGGGTTAAAATGGTGTTTTTGTTGTTTTTTTTTTTTTAAGTAATATTTACCACAATAATGTAAAAAAAAAAGGTAGTGTGAAGTGCAGAAAGAATCCTTTAAAAATAATTTTTAAAAAGGTAAAACAGAAAAGTCTTCAGAAGAATTATACATGATTCCACTCCCTTTTGCTAATTTCCACCCCTTCCTCCCCAGTGCTTGGTATTTTGATGCAGATAAATCAGTGAGAATTGATAGCCAAGAACATGGCAGATTAGGGGTGGGATGAGTGGAGTAAGAAGTGTGGTGGCAGGTTGATTTTGTTAGGTGCTGTCAAGTCGAATATGACTCATATAGTATGAATAACAGACCTGAATCCTGTGCTATCCTGCCTGTGCCATCCTTGTCATCTCTATATACTTGAGTCCATTGCTGCAATCATGATGTCAGTCCACCTTCTTGGGGGTGGGGAGGTGTCTTCTTTTCTTTCACAGATTATCCACCTTTACAAACGTGATGTTCCTTTCTAGGGAATAGCATCTCCTAGCAAAATGTCCAAAGTATGAGAGCCAAAGCTTTGGTATCTTTGCTTTCAAGTACTCTGGCTGCATTTTTCCAAGACATACCTTGTTTGTTCTTCTGGCAGTCTCTGGGATATACAGTACTCTTCTCTAACACCACAACTCAAAGGCATCAATTTCTCTGTAATCCTTATTCATTGCCCAGGGCTCAGAAGCATAGCAAGTGGTGGAAAAGACCAGGGCCTAAATCAGAAGTACCTTAATCCTCAAACTGACATCATTCCTCTTCTGTATTTTGGAGAGGTCCCTGACAATATTTTGAAGAGGTCCATGCTATAATATTAGAGGTAGAACTCAAATGGAAAGTCACTAAAATATAAAGAGAAACAGCTATAAACAACCATTAATAATTGTACATGGAATGTATGAAGTATGACCATAGGAAAACTGGAATTGGCGAAAATTGAAATGGAACACATGAAGATCTAATTTCTCGGCATTAGTAAACTGAAATGGATAGGCACGGGCCACTTCGAATGAGATAATCATATGCTCTATACTGTTGTTGTTATGTGCCATTGAGTCGTTTGCGACTCATAGCGACCCTATGTACAACTGCCCTAAACCCTGCTCTATCCTGTGCCAATCTCATTGCCTCCGACACACCCATCCCGATTACCCCAGTCACTGAATCAATCCACCTCATAGAAGGTCTTCCTCTCCTGCGCTGTCCCTCCACTCTGCCCAGCATGATGTCCCTCTCCAAAGACCTGTCTCTCCTTACAACATGTCCAAAATATGTCAGGCGAAGCCCCAGAATCCTTGCCTCCAAGGAGCAGCCTGGTTTAACCCTCTCTAGGATGAATCTATTTGTTTTCTTGGCAGTCCATGGTACATTCAGTACTCTTCTCCAGCACCACAGCTCAAAGTCATCAATTCTCCTTCTATCCTCCCTAGTCATTGTCCAGCTCTCTGATGCATAACAAGTGATTGCAAAAACCATGGCCTGTATCAGGCACACCTTAGTCTCCAGAGAGACACTGTTGCTCTTGAGTACTTTAGAGAGGTTCCTAACTGCAGACTTTCCCATTGCAATACGTTTTTTTATTTCCTGGCTACTGGTGCCAAGAGTGTTGACCGTGGAGCCGAGCAAACTGAAGCTGTGAACAATCTCAATCTCTTCACCATCCATCCTGATGCTGCCAATTGGTCCAGTGGTGAGAATCTTTGTCTTCTTGGCATTGAGCCTCAGTCCATATTGAAGGCTGCAGTCCTTGACCCTCTGCAGTAAGTGCATGAGGTCCTCCTCAGTTTCAGCGAGCAGGGTTGTGTCATCTGCATAACGCAGAGGTTGAAAAGGTATGGAGACAGGACACATCCCTGGCATACACCCTTCCCAATTTTGAACCATGCAGTGTTGCACTGATTTGTTCTGACTACTGCCTCTTGGTCCAAGTATAGGTTTTGCATTATTGTATTGGATTCATAATTAAAGGGAAAATTTCAAAGTCTATCCTAAAGTACAATGTTGTGAATGGTATGGTGTTAATCATATGCATATAAGAAAGACCTGTTAACACGAGTATTATTCAAATATGTGCACCACCACCAAAAGCCAAAATGGGGGGAATTGAAGATTTCTACCAAGTTTTGCAGTATGAAATTGATCAAACTTGCAATCAAGATGCATTAATAATTATTAGTGACTGGACTGCAAACGTTAAGAAACAATGGGGAGCCATGCCCGTCAGAAAGTACGGAGTTGGTGACAGAAATGAAACTGGAGAGCAAATCAATGATTTATTCATGTTGTTGTTGTGTACCTTAGAGTCAGAACCGACCAATAGCTGACCCTCTGCCGGTTTTTCAGAGGCAGTAAATCGCATGGGAGGCGATTGCCCATCATTTTCCAGCAGAGTAGTTGGTGGCTTTGAACAACTGGTGCATTTGGGATTGCAGCGCAGGTTCTTACCACTAGGCCACCAAGCAAATAAAATACCTTCTTATAAGAAACACAAAAGGAAGACTTTACAAATAGACCTCACCTGGCGGACTGCACAGGTTATCAGAATCCTGTGGTGGCAAGCATCCTTTTTAAATTTTGGCATTTTGTTTATGCTGGATATTTTTGCATTATTTTTTACAGACATTGTATTAAGATATTGTTTATCTTGATTATTAAATTACATGACTTCTGAAATTTTGCCCTGGAATCCTGGGACTGTATTCAGAGCAGGAAAACTCATTGCCGTTGGTTGAAAGCTACTCTTACTCTTCCAAGGCTGTTTGATAGGTGTTTCCGAGACTGTCAATAGCAAGGGAGGCGGTTGACCCTTATTTTCCCATGGTGCCACTAGTGTATTCGAATCACCAGAGAAGTCCCATCTCTATCCTTTGGGTTAATGCAACTCAGTATAGACTACGCCACCAGAGGTCAGAGGGATAAAAGGAAATCTCCAAAGTAGAAACAGAAGTGGTCTTAGAGCAAACGCTGTAGAGCAAACGCTGCCCTGCCTTTCCCGGTCAGGTAGAGAACAAGAAAGAGGGAAGAAGGGTTGGCCGCCCCGAGGGTGGTGGTGTTACGGGAACTGCGAGCAGCAGGGAGAACGAGCACCCACTACCCACCTCCAGGCGGAGGGCTAGGCCACTGGGTGGGGGCGGAGCCGCAGGGCGCCGTAGCGTCACGTGACTGGACCGCCCGCCCTGCGCCGCCCCTTCTTGGCAGTGGTTCGCGGCGGTACTCAGAGCTCTCGGGATAGGGGCGGCCCAGGGACCGAGTGACCAGGTGGAGCAGGTACAGAGCCCCGAGGGGTCCTCAGGGCTGGGCTGGGCTGGGCTGAGCAGGGGTCGAGGGGCTTCAGACACGCGGGCTACACACCTCACTTTCCTTGAGCTCAAGCAGCCCTGGGAAGAGCAGCGCAGATCCCGCAGCATCAGGTCCAGGCTTGTGACCCCACGGCCCGCCGAGAACTGATGTGTGTGTGTACGGGATGGGGGCTGTCGGCCCTGCCAGAGGCACAGGCTGGGGGCGACGACCCTTGGGAAACTCTTGCCTCTTCCCTCAGTGCAGGCTTCCCCCAAACCCCGCTCCGCTCCGCCCCCTTCGTGCAGAAAATGGACACTGCAGGCAGGCGGTCTATGGGGTCGTTCTGAAGGGCCGGGTCGGGGGTAGGGGGGTGGGGCGGGACAGATCGCTTGGTCCCCTACCAGCCTCACTTCCTCAATCTCGGCCCTCTGCAGATCTGAGCATCGCTTGGTGCACCTGGAAGCGAGGAGCAGGAGACTAATAGGCCCAGGTTAGTGTGCGCGGAATCCAGAAGGAACGCTGAAGGTGCAGAGCCCAATATGAAACCCCCTGCCTCTTGCTACCCCCCCCCACTGTCCGCCATTTTGATGCCTGTGGAGGCCTCAGTGTTTTAGCAGCAGGAAAAATGGTGGGCTTGGGGAAAGGGGGACTGGGGACCCCCCCAGAGCCATCTAGTTGCTCAGGTGAGAAAAATAAAATTTTCGTAAAAGGTTGGAATTCCTGGACTCTGAATCGTGAAAGATTCCAAGTAGGGCCTTGTTCCTGATATGCCCACAAAGTTCTCTTGCCTTTATCTCTAGGAGTAATGGAGTCCAAAAAGGAACAAACAGGGAAAAATGTCAGTGTGGAAAATGCCCACCAGGAAAAGGAAGGCCGGCAGCCTGGAGGAAATGGCAGGCGAGGACGAATTTGGCGACTTGCTCCTAATTTTCGATTGGGCACACCCAATAGGGAAGAGGGAAATGATGCAGAAAGATACACGGAGGAGATGAAGGAAGTCAGGAGAAAGATAAAAGAGCAGCAGCTGAAGCATTATATGCGCTCCCAAATTCCTGAACCTGACAACCATGAAGAGTTTTGCCTTATACCTTAAATACTACTGTTTTCCCTGAGATTAACGATATATATCTTCTGTTTTCCAGTTTGTGCTGCTGTGATTTAGTTTGCATTTAAGCTCTTTGGTGTTTGCACTTTCCAGTTTCTTATTGAATATTGTTTTCTGTCAATGTAAAAGTTTCTGTCAGGTTTGTTTCAACCATTCTTAGGTAAACTATAAATTTAATATTGTGAAGTTAATAAAGCAGTTTAAAAGACCATCTGTATCCCATCATTTTCCACTTCCATTCCATTTTCTTTTTAAATGTTAACTTCTCTTCAGCACTTAAAATCTTGGTATCGTTGCCTGGTATTGTTACTTGTTTCCATCCGATCAGCAGATTGTACCCAGAATTCTACATCTGGTAGTCAAGTCATTTTAAGAATGTATGCCCTAGTGTTATTAAAGGGTCGTCTTGTTGTGTGCTCTTGAGTTGGAATTGGGTCATAGTTGACACTCTCAAGTTTTCAGAGTGCCCATAGAGCAACAAATGTATTCCAGCTGAGTGTGGGTTGGCAGCACAACTTCTTACAACTAGGCCACCAGAGTTCTCTAAAGAATGATAGTCCTACCAAAAGAACAAGTCTGTCTTGGAGGAAGTATAATCAGGGTGCTCTTTAGAGGGAAGGATGATGAAACTTAGTGTCACATACTTGAGCCTGTTGTCAGGAGAAGTAAGTCCTTAGAAAAAGACATCATACTGGGAAAGGTGAAGGGTCAGAGAAAGAGAGGAAGACTCTCAAGGAGATGAAAGAGAAAGAGACCTTAAAAATCATCTACGTCAATGTTTGTCAAATGTATAATTTTGAGGATTTTTACCCTCAACCTTAGATACCATAAGCATCTCTTGTATTTAAAAATTTATATTATTAATTTATATAAGTATCAAAATATATTTAATGTTAATTATTTCTTGGAATACTAAAATTCTTATTGATCAGTTACTCAAATTCAAAATTTATTGCTGTTGAGACCAAATTGATCCAAAGCCAACCCTTCTTTGGTTTTCCAAAGCTGTATATCACAAGGGAGGAGATTGCCCGTTTTATCACCAGCAAGAGTTGCTGGTGGTTTCAACAGTAAAAGAGGTGTGGCCATTGTGTTAGTAGTGTAACCCTCTGAGGACAAAGCTACCAGAACTCCCTTGATCAGTTACAGGGTTCTGATATAAGAAAATTACAATTGTGAAGTAGGTATTTCTGACCCTAAAACCTTTGCTTTGCTCACTTCATATTGACTCCTCATTGCATGGCGAGTCTCCAGGATTCAGGGACAGATGGGCAAAAGTGATGAGTATGTATCTTTGTGAACTCATGCCCATATGGTTGGATAATGACATTTATCTTAGACACAGTGACTTCTGCAATGGACTTTAATGTGTCAGGGAGTATGAAGATGGTGCAAGATAGGACAAGTTTCAGATCTGTTGTTCATAAGGTTGCCATGAGTTGTGCTTGACTCAACAGCACCTAGTAACAACAAGTGGACAATTACAGCAATCAGTTGGATATAGAGTCTCAGGAGAAAAGTCTTAAATGAATAAATAGATTTTTGATAGCACTGTATGACATACAGTAAACCTCAAGTAGATATTTGCTGCTGAATGAGTAAATATATGAAATGGGAAGTTCTAGCAAATGCAGTATATCTATGAGTTGCAATAGGCTTGATGACAATGGATTGGGAATGGATTCTTCTACTAATTGTAATTAAGTATTAGTGTTTCATAGTGTTCTTTGAATAGAATGTGTATTGTTTTGTTCTTACAAATTTAAAACCTCTTGTAAGGAGATGCACTTCCAACACAAAGACCAGCTATTTGGAACCACCAGCTGATTCACAGGAGGAAAATGGGGACTTTTCTCATGTGATTCACTGCCTCTGAAAACTCATTGGAAGGTCAGAATGTTTTGAAAGTAGATATAAAGTGCCATCTTGTGACAAAAGAGAGAACTGTTGTTTCTGTTATTGTATACCATGGGTTAAGACCCACCCATAGCTGAGCAGATTTTCAGAGGCCATAAATCTCAAGAGAGGTGATTGCCTAACTTTCTCCCACAGAACAACTAGTGGACTTGAACTGCATGCCTTTGGAATTACAGTACAGCTCCTTGCCACTAGACCACCGGAGCTCCCTAAGACAGAGCTAGGCAAGAAATAAGCAGACAGGTTAAAACTAACTGAAAACTCATTGCTGTCAATTGCTATCAGTACCAACTCATTATAGACCCTCCAGTGAATTTTCTAAGGCTATAAATCTCACAGGAGGAGACTGGTGATCTTTCTTGCATGGAGCTGCTAGTGAACAACCAGAGAGGTGAGAGGAGTCATCTTTGACTTAGCAGTGCAACTCCCTATGGACTAAATCATCAGAGTTCTAAGAGAGGTGTGAGGGTTGGAGTGAAGAGTTCTCAGCCAGGACTTATTCAAGTTTAATACTTAAATCAGAACCTTCTCAAATAAGCAAAGAAGGAAGTGGAATAGCTGAAAGTCCCCATCTCACCATCTAGATCAGTGAAGGAAAAAAAATCACGTTTATTATTTTTCCCCCAATTATAAGTTACATATGACCGTTGACAAAAAACTAGGGGTGCTTTCAGATCCACAGAGCTGCGACAGCCTGCTGGCCCAGGAGGAACTTGAACCACCAAACACCCTAAAAAGCCACCATTGATTCTCAGCTACCCTCTGGCACACTAAGCCCCTCCTAGAGCCAGGAGAGGTGGAGAGGACCATTTTGGACTGCCAGCTTGGAAGGGAACTAATTTGCAGACCACTCCCAATAGGCTGATTGACCACACCATTGATTCCCAACCACCCCTCTGTCACCCCCAGCTCTGCCTACAGACAGCAGAGGTGAAGCCGACTGAATAACACCAGTAAAAGGGGGAAAGTATTACCAACATTCATGATCCACCAAAAACATTGCTTTTGCCCATCATTTGGCTTTGTCAGCCTTGAACATTAACTAGAAGACTTCAGCAATCAGCAGCTACAGGTCCTACAAAGTCCTTTCTCCAGAACTGCAAAGTAGTAAAGAAAGTCAGGTAATGTGGCTGCACCACTCTATAGAACAAGGAGGACAACGGAGAGAGGGCTGCAACCGAGGGGGGTGGGACCCAAAACCACAAAAAAACCAATACATCCATCCTAGAGAACTTAGTGCAGGACCAGAGAGAAAGGAACAAAAGCATCTATCCCTGCCCCACAGTCCCAGATAATTTGTCACAAGACCAGAGAGGAAGAACTACAGGTAGGATGAGTTATCCTCCCCTTCCCTACTAGTGTATTGAGCTCCCCAGCTAAAGCAAGTCTCCCCTTGAGTCCAGGGATCAGAGAGAGATTCATGCAGGGTGAGGTGACCCTCCCTTCTCTGGAGCAGTGAGCTTTTGAGCCAAGATCATCAAATCAAGGCCCCAGGCAAGAAAAACTCTACCACGCAATGACATGAAAGAAGCAGACTACTTCACATCCTACACAAACCAAAGCATGATGTCACCCCCCCCCAAAAAAAAAATTTGATCAAAACAAAGAGTCAAGGGATTTCCTAAAGGCAGAAAGCCTGGAGGAATTTTCTGACACACAATTCAAAAGAACTATGAGTATTTTCAATGGGTGAAAGACAAATTTGAAGAATTACAGAATTGTTCACAGCTTTAGTTTGCTTGGCTCCACAGTCAACACTCTTACCACCAGTAGCCAGGAAATTAAAAGACATATTGCAATGGGAAAGTCTGCTGTTAGGGACACCTCCAAAGTACTGAAGAGCAATGGTGTCTATCTGGAGACTAAGGTGTGTCTGATACAGGCCATGGTCTTTGCTATCACTTGTTATGCATCAGAGAGTTGGACAATGACTAGGGAGGATAGAAGAATTGATGCCTTTGAACTGTGGTGCTGCAGAAGAGTATTGAGGGTACCATGAACTGCTAGGAAAACAAACAGATTGATAGTGGAAAGGGTTAAACCTTATGCTCCCTGGTGGAAAGGATTCTGAGGCTCCATCTAACATACTTTGGACATGTTGTAAGGAGGGACCAGTCCTTGGAGAGGGACATCATGCTTGGTAGGGTGGAGGGACAGTGCAGGAGGGTAAGGCCCTCTTTGAGGTGGATTGATTCAGTGACTGGGGAATTGGAATGGGTGTATCAGAGACAGTGCAATTGGCACAGGACAGAGCAGAGTTTAAGGCTGTTGTACATAGGGTCGCTATGAGTCACAAGCGAATCAACGACACATAACAACAACAACAACAGGAAGCAAAAGCCAAGTGGAACTTATAAAAATAATTGAAGACAATGCAGATAAACAAGGCATTAGAAACTCTGGAAAACCGAAGAAACTACAATTCATAATGTGAGGACCAGTGAATGTCTCAAATGCTGTCAAGATGCTACTCAAGATGAGCAAAGTTGAAGAGGTGGAACACAAAACCAGTGAAATAGAAGATAGAGTTCTCAGCCCTGATATGCTAGAACAAAAAGCAGAATCAAAAAGGAAGGGAAGAGACGAAAACCTAAGAATAATATGGAGCACCATCACGAGAAACAATATGTGCATAATTGGAATCCCAGAACAGGAAGAAGGGGGGGAAAGGCATAGTGAGAGTTGTGGAAGAGTGACTAGAAGAAAAGTTTCCTGGCATAATGAAGAGGCTATATACACAAGAAGCTGAGTGAACTTCAAATAGAATAGATCCCCAAAAGAATAACTTTAAGGCATGTCATAGTCAAGTTTGCCAGAACCAAAGATAAGGAGAAAATCTGAAAACAGCTAGGGAAAAATTATAGGTTCCATATGAGCACAATCAAATCTCTGGAATTCCCATTCTTCTCAATGTCAGCCACAACTTTTATGATCCACACAATTAAATGCATTTGAATAGTCAATAAAGCACAGAGAGACATTCTTCTAGTATTCCTCATTTTTTAGTCAGGATCCATCTGACATGAGTAATGATATCCCTGGTGCCATGGCCTCTTCTAAATCCTGCTTGA